TGTTTGCTCATGTCTAGCTGACGCTGGTGAAGGTTGTCCATCAGACTGCACGAAGGCGTCAAACAGCCAGCCTCTCATAAAAGGACCTGTCGTAGGACACAGCCATCTTGGCCAGTGGCACGACTGGTCATAGTACAAGCCCTTCCTGTGAGGAGGAATCAGGGCTTGACATCCGTTGGGGGTGGAAGATGCTGTGAACCTTTACATGTGAAAAATGAAAACATTTTAGTCTGGAGTAGCAATCCGCATGACATTGTTCAGACTGTACCATTTCTCCCTGCAGCGTTCGTGTATAAACATGTCTGCATTTTTGCATAAAACTGGGAATAGATTCCGTTCTTGTGAAGTGCTACATAATTTAAATTAAACTTTGTTAACAAGGTTACGTTAGAGGGTCAATTCTGAAGTGTAGAGAGCTTTTTCGTGTTGTACTCACAACTGAAGGCACCTAATAGAATAGACTGCTCGTGAAGCAATCACATTTCAGCATGTAATTCTCGTATGATCATCTTCCCTCAATGACGCTGTTCCTCCTTCTCCTAGCTTCTGTTTTCTGATGTTTCTTGCATCAATGATATGGTTCCTTGTCCCTGATGTGTTTGATAGCAACAGTCTGACTATATTTTCCATCCATCAAAGATTGACATATGCTGCCTCTAATAGGTGTCAGTGATGACTGCATAACTGACTTTATTATAAACAGTGGAAATGATTTTTCTGGCTATTTTCATCTTATTAGTTCCATATTTTTTTCCTGTTTCTCACTGAATAGAGCTGTTCATGTTTATACTGCCAGTCATGCCCACAACAACGCTTTAACTGGGTCTATTCCATCCACCATCGGCAATCTTATCAACCTCACTACTTTGTGAGTACCATCAAGAGAATAGGGACAGCAGCCTACACGGCGTAGCAGAGGTTCTCAAATGAGAGTTCCTACATGCAGTGACACCAAGCAAAACTGATTTGATAATGAGGATGTACGCTAGGCATGAGCAAGGGATGGAGCTGGACCGAGCCAGGCCATTAGGGTAGGTTGCCCACCAGTCTGCACGAAGGTGTAAATAATCAGCCTCATTTGTGTGGACCTGACGTTGGACACCGCCATCTCGGATAATGGCAGTCTGCACCAGTCTGCAGAAGGTTGTCCACCAGTCTGCACAAAGGTGTCAAACAGCCAGCCTCTCCTAAGAGGACCTGTCGTAGGACACAGCCATCTTGGATAACGGCACGATTGGTCATAGTACAAGCCCTTCTTGCAGCCAGCCAACCCTGATCGAATTGGTAATAAATGCCGGACCAAGATGGATAGGGCGGACGTGCAAAAAGGTAAGAAACGGGCTCGATCAGGCCGGCCTGGTTCAGGCCAGTGATGATGTCTAGTCCACCCATGCCAGCCCTATCCTGCCACCGTAAACATGTCTCATTAGCTCTTGGTCATGGGTGGAATCGGATATGTGCCAGGAGGAACAAGAATTGAATGTGAGCTGTATCGACCCCCAAAGCTACACATAAGCAAAAATTACAGATCTTTACAGGTCATGGTTGCTGGGATTATGGTCGGGATAGGCTAGGCTGTGGAGTTTGGAGCTCAAAATTTCCTAAATGTCGAGAACGTCCAAAATCATCAACAGAAATCTCTTTGGGGATTGCCCCCGTATCCCAACCCATCCTTCTCTTTCCCATATCGATGTACAGCCTTGAGCTCATTCTCTAATGTACCAATTCAGCCTGAAGTTCTTACAAACCCGATCCAAAGCTCGACCTAATCGGGTCAGCGGAAAAAACCCATCTGGTCATGTTGGATTAGCTTGACCGGACCATTTTCTCGACCTTGAACTTACCAATGTCAACTAGAAAATGTCCCATGGGATGTGCTTTCCTGACGCAATCCGAAGTCTAGACACCTTCCCTTTTTTATCTCCATCCCCAAAGTCCTCCAATCTTCTACCACTTTTGGGATCATTCATTTGCTTCTGCATAGACGCATCACCAGGATCGACATGAATTCTTTGACTTTGTGTATTGTGAATATTATCCGTCCATTGCAGTGATGTCAATTGGAACAAACTTACTGGCCAAGTTCCCCCAACTCTCGGCAATCTCAGTCGTCTTTCATACCTGTAGGAAAGGCATCTTAGCATATTGAGGTGCTGCATTGTCTATCATAGCTCCCTTGAAGCGTACCATGAAGACGAGGTATGTGAGGCACCAAGGGGTTACACTGGCATGGCCTAGCCCAAATTGTATTTCAGCCACAGGTAGGAGGTACCCAATCTCTCCAGGGCTGAAATTGGACCAGCCCGGGCCAATCCTCGTCTGCTCACCAGCTACCACACCGGGACAGACGACGACAGAACGTTTTCAGTAGACTGAACCATCATAATTAGGCAAATTAACATTTTCAAATTTTGATTTTTTTCTACCATACCTCTCCAATATCAACTGCAGAGCGTTAAACTCAATGAATAAAACGGATTTTTACTCATGCTTCAAGAATGCCCCATGCGAACATGCAGGAACATACCTTCAACTGCAATCGCATGCCCTCCTGACTACAGCAGCTGCGTGGTCCCACAGAATGAGTCAAGTCTTTTCTGCAAGCAGTGTGGCTCCTTCTGCAACACATGTGTCAAGCCACCACCAGGTGAGACGCATCTCCTCAGGCAAGTGGCCACGGGTTGTACTTCCATTTTCGAGTTTGTTCCTGTTTGTGATGAGTGCATAAACAGTGGACTGCTATCTATGCCAAATGCTTCCGCTTACAATGTGCAATCCCTTCCATGTCTTGCTTGTTTTGCATGCCTCAACAATATGCGCTCTGACAATCCATCCCCTCGTCCACTTTGATCCCGTACCATGTCCACTACCCCCTTCCCCACCTACTCCATCCCCAACATCCAGCACCAGTGCCAGCACCCTCCCCATCGCCAGTACCAGCTCCCTCCACATCGCCAATGTCAACACCCTCCCCATCAACAGTGCAAGCACCCTCTCCATCTACTCCCACTTCAACTCCCAGTGCACCTTCAGCTTCTCTCTCCCAGTCTGGAGGCAGCTTGTCCAGTGGAGCTATTGCTGGCATCGCTGCTGCTGGCGGAGTGGCTGTCGTCATGCTGCTGCTGCTGAGCTGGTTTCTGTGCAAAGGACGCTGCACCAGAGGGGTTGCAGGACGAGGCGGTAATGGCACTGACGTGGATGGAAAGAAATTGACAGATTCTAGTGTGCTTGAGGGTAAGATATTTAGCTGAAGGGTGGCAGAGATGATGAGTAACTGGGCTAAGAGAGGTGGGGACTCGGCAGCCACCGCAAGGCATCTGTAGAGGTAGGGGTAGGGGCTTGAGAGCTGACAGGGGTTCTTAATGGTTGTTGAAGATGACATACTCCCACTGCCATGGAAAGGACCCCATCTGTGCAGAATGAAGATTAAGGTGGTGGGAGGGGGGGGGGTGATAAAGACAAGCCAGACTTCTGGTTGGGGGTTCATTTCCATGACATTGCACAGCCAGTCAGCTTCAGTGTCAGGATGACAAGTACTGGTCGGCTAACTTCTTCGCGACAGATGTGACTGAATTCATCTTCTTGCAGACATTTGATTTGGAATTGCCTGGATTCATCCAATGAAGCCATGTTGCTTGCTGGTCCCTCCTGTTCCTTAGGGTACCAGGGTAGGTGGTTAGGAGTTCTAGGCTCTATAGCTACTTAATCACTCTCATTCTCTCTAACATATTTTTGCAGGACCGAAGAATGGAGATGTAAATCCAGGAGCAGGAGAGGGGGAGGCAGAAGCAGCAGCAGCAGCAGCAGCAGCAGTGGCAGCAGTGGCAGCAGCTCTACCATTAGCAGCAGCACAAGGGAGGCAGGGTGATGGATTTTTGGTGGAGATTGAGGCAGCACGGCCATATGTGTGTCGAGAGTATTCCCTGACAGAGCTGGCCAAGGCCACAGGAGAGTGGGCAGAGGGGAACAGGATAGGGAGTGGCAGCTTTGGCGATGTTTACAAGGGTGTGTCTCCCGACGGTTGCAATCAAGCCTGGGCAGTCAAACGGGCTCGAGTGCTCACCAACGACTTCCAAAGAGAGGTATCTTGTTGTGAAATTCCGTTTATACGTCTGGTTTCTTTTGCCAACCTCGAACAACTCCATTCTCATTTGATCTGTTCCCTATCTTTCTCTCAGGTGAAAGAGATGGCAAGCAAGCACCATCCACACCTCGTGCGTCTGTTGGGCTATTGTATCGATTTGAATCACTCCACTAAAATGGTGGAGCAGATCCTAGTTTACGAGCTCATGCCCAACAACGACCTTGAGAGCTGGATCGGACCCGGTGTCTTGAACCCTCTTTTGCTTTGTCAGAGGCTGGACATTCTGATTGGAGTGGCAAAGGGGTTGCAATATCTTCATGACTTTGGCATTGTGCATCGCGACATCAAGCCAGCCAACATTCTCCTTGATGCAAAAATGCAGGCATGTCAAAAACATTATAAGCCTCGTTGTACATGGTGGAAGATGCCTACTCTTATCCATCCGTCCGCAATTATCAAGTGGTGTTTTGAATTGATCAGCACGCTCCTCGTATTGCACATCAGTGCTGTTGTTGTCGATGGGCAGGCCAAAATTGCAGACTTCGGGCTCGTGAAGCTTGGTGAGGGCAGCACTATGGGCACGTCACTGGCTGCCACTCGAGTGATGGGAACACCGGGATATGTGGACCCTGCCTATTACAAGTCTCACAAGGCCACTCCGGCGGCAGATGTGCATAGGTGAGCAGACTGGCGCAGTTGAGCAGTTGATTTGCGCAGGTTAGCATTTTGGCATAAGAAAAACGTGAAGGTCAGCAGATGAGCACATTGACATGTTAAAACCACTCTGGCAAGCTTTTGGAGTGGATGAGAAATGTTTATTAGTTTCCATTTTGGGGTTTAGGTCTCGCAATGCTTCCATGTTTCCTATCCCTTGAACTCAAGAAGTCCATTCTTGACATTGAAGCCATTTCCAGCCATGTTTGACCAAACAAGTAGCATGGTGATGGCTGGTTACCAGAGGTATGGGTTGTGTGAAAATCTCTTGATAGAGGAATATTAACGAATTTACCAGTTTGGCCATAAGACGTGCTTTTGTTTAAAGCATGGTCTGAAATCTGATGTTTTCATTTATTCCTTGGTTTGCAGTTTTGGTGTGGTGATGCTGGTGGTCATCACGGCGCGCAAGGCCGTGCATGTAGTAGGGGACAACCAGATCAATCTCAAACAATGGGTGAGATACAGTTAGTCGCACGACTAGCCGAGGTAGTTCAACACCAGATATGAGAAAGGCAGCTGCACTATAGAGTGAGTTTGCTTGCTACTCTTAGCCAAACATAGGCCAATTGAAGTCCTCTCTAAACTCTTTCTCAACTTTACACGGGTTTCCATGAGCAAGACGAGTGAAACAAAAATGAACATTGAAGTTTCTTGCCTCGCCTTCTATTTGTGTCACGATTCACCTGCCTATTATTCAACTCTCTGTCTCTGCAGCGCTACTTTCCTTGAAAACAAGCATCTTCCTCACCTAGTTCCATACCTTACTTTTATGTTGCTTTCTTTCATTAGATTTCACACTTTCTTATCTTATGTACACCTCTAAGAAGCTTCTCTATGAACATATTGGCATATGCATTCGACCTGACAGGTGGCCCCATTGCTGGACTCTGGAGCTGTGTTGGCATTCAAGGACCCTAACTTGGATGCACCAGATGACTTGGTGCTGCGCTTGGCCCGCCTTGCCCTCTCCTGCACCGCCATACCTGTGGCCTCCCGCCCCTCCATGAATCAAGTGCTGGGAGAGCTGGTGAAGCTGAAGCAGGAGGCATTCGGAGCACATGTGAGCGAAGCCATATCTCGCATCGATATGGAGATTGGGAGTTCCATTGGCTCTTCTGGCTTCACTGCTGAAATGGCCCGTGCAGAGCGCGAGGGCATGCAGAGTGATTTCGCGGCCAGAATGCCATAGATGTACTACAGCACGCGCTGGCTGCGGAGACAACGTGTAGGTTGCTTGTTTTTTCAGACGTTGTACACCCCTTCTTAACACATCGTGCTGGTGTTGCATTGTCAGGTTGTAAACAACAAATAGCGTGTCAAATGGATCGAAACATGAGTGTGCGATGTCAAACATATATAATATAGCCTGTGTAGGCTGTAGTGGGGTAGACATTATGGGGTACAACTTATCTAGGTTTTCCTACTTGTACCCATCTCTTTTCTAGTTCACACCATTCCTCGTACTTTTCTCACATGGTATGGAACGGGTTCCCTAGTGGGACCGTTTTTTAGGGCCCACCACTTCAATTTTTTATCCTGCCCTGCCCGAAGCGCGCTCCTGCCCTGACGCGCGCCTCGCACGTGCCTCACCTGCGCCCCGTGCGCCTACCCTACCGTCGCGGCCATGGCTGGAGCGGTCGCGGCCCCTGCCGTCGCGCCCTGTTTGAAGCCGTCGCGGCCCTGCCCTGCCGTCGCGGCCGTGCCGCCCTGCCGTTGCGGCCCTGCCGCCCTGCCCTCGCGGCCTTCCCTGAAGCCGTTGTGGCCCTGCCCTCCCGTCGCGGCCCTGCCGCCCTGCCGTCACGGCCCTGCCTGGAGCCGTCGCGGCCCTGCCTGGCTTTGTTGCGGCCCTGCCTGCCGCCGCCGCGGCCCTGCCTACCGCCGCTGTTGCGGCCCTGCCTACAGCCGCTGTTGTTGCCGCTCTACCTTGCGTCCGTGCTGCCGCCCTTCACTGCCGCCTCATCGCGGCCCTGCCTGACGCGGCCCTGACCTGCCGGCGCGCCGCGGCCCTGCCCTTCCAGTTGCGGCCCTACCCCGATCCCGCCCTGGTAAGCGCACCGCCGCACCCGCGCCGCCCTGCCGAGCCGCGCAGCCTTGCCGAACCGCGCCGCCCTACCGAGCCGCGCCGCCCTGCCGAGTCGCGCTGCTCCTGCTGCTGCTACTACTACTGCTGACATGGCTACCCCTAATGTACTTACCTTCGATGTTGAGGGTCGGGCAGTTGATTTCGAGGTCTGGGTCGATGATCTGCAGCTGTTTCTACAGTGCGATTCTAGGGACAGAGTCTCACTATTCGATCACACGTCCTGCGTCTCAGTTGCACCTGCTGCCGATGCTGACAGTGCTGTTCGCTCGCAGTGGACCACGCGCGATGCTGCTGCCTGTCTTGCTGTTTGTAGTCACCTGACGTCTGCTGAGCGCGCGCACTTTAGCCATTACAAGACCGCTAGGACTTTGTACGACGCTGTTTTTGCGCGCTACTCCTCCTCTGCCACTGCTGCCCTTAGCCGCCTCATGCTGCCGTACCTGTTCCTAGACCTAGCTGATTTTGCCACAGTCGCTGACCTCATTACACACTTCCGCACTAGTGACACCCGCTACTGCGCTGCGCTTCCTGCCGAGTTCTGCGCTAAGAACCCCCCCCCCCCCCCCCCCTATGTACATCACTCTCTACTACCTCGTCACCCGGCTCCCTAACTCCCTTCGCTCGATCAGGGACCACTTCCTCTCCCTTTGTCCCACCACGCTCGCCGTTCACCTCCTCGAGGAGCGCCTCCTTGCAGCTGAGAAGAGTATAGTCGCTATAGAAGCCTCTCGTAGTGACCCTCGTGCCCCTTTCTTTGAGGGGAGCTCCCCCGTTCCCCTTTTGCCTTCTGTTGCCTCTGCTACTGCTGTCGACCTCGTTGGCACCGAGTCGGTCGGCGCTGCATCTGCTCCTAGTGAAGGGCGCTGCAGCGGCATGAGCAAGGGGGGCAAGGGTGCTGGAGGAGACGGCGGGGGCAGCAGTGGTGGCGGTGGAGGCGGCGGAGGGGGTGGGGGTGGACGTGGGGGTGGTGGCGGGAGTTGGGGCTTCGGTGGCGGTGGTGGGGGTGGAGGCGGCGGCGGCAGCGGCAGTGGGGGTGGCGGCGGCGGTGGTGCTGGTTGGGGTGGCGCAATGCAGCGTGGAGGCTTTGGTGGTGGCCAGCGCCAGTAGCAGCAGCGTTCTCGTGAGACCCTGTCACCCCAGCAGCTTCATGAGCGGTACGCTGGGCGTGGGAGGTCTGGGGGTGCTGGTCCCTGCGCTTACGTTCTCCGCACCGGCGAGCGCAGTGGGGAGACGTGCAGAGGGCCGCACGCCACGGAGCGCTTTTCGGCCGTCTGATTGACGCCTAGCGTGCACAGTTTCCTGACGCTACTGAGATTCCGCGCTGGGGTGATCTGCTTAAGTCGGGGGTTGCTATCTCTAATTTTGACTATGATGCTATCCTTGTTGCTATGTATGCTGTGTCTATTAGTGCTGAGGGTGACTGTTACCTGTCTGTTCCGCCCGACCCAGGCATTGACGCTACTGCTCCAGATGCTAGTGAGTCTGCTGCTCCAGGTGCTGGTGACTCTGCTCTCTCAGGTACCACGTCGGCTCAGGTCTTACACACTTTCACCTTTGACTCGGGTGCTTCCCGCTCCTTCTTTCGCGACTGCACCACACTCTCACCGCTCAGTCGGCCAATGGGAGTCTCTCCGGCTGACCCTTCTAGGGATCCGAACCGTGCAAACTCCTCTACGGTTCTGCCGTGTCCGGCGGTCCCGTCTGGCTCTCTGTCTGGCCTCCACCTCCCCTCGTTCTCCACAAACTTGGTGAGTGGAGCTGACCTTCAGGACACGTGGGTTGACCAGTTCACTCCTGGAGGTCAGCGCGTGACCCACTGTTCCTGTACTCGGATGGGCCGGCACCTGGCCACGTTCACCCGTCAGCCGGGGTCGAGTCTGTACACCCTGAATACCGTGTCTCCTCCGGTTGCTGAGTCTGGTCGGGTAGCTGCGTTGGGTCAGGTGTTTGCTACAGCGTCCCGGTCAGGTCCTGAGTCTGCCCCCTGCTCGTGTTGCCTCCTGTCTCACCAGACTCTCCTCTCGCACCACCGCCTTGGTCACCCCTCCCTGCCTCGTCTCCGAGGCATGGCCTCCCGTGTCCTTGTCAGCAGCCTTCCCCGGTCTCTCCCTCCCCTTCCCCCGGGACTGCCCCTACCTGCGTTCCTTGTGTCGAGGGCGGCAGCGCGCCGCTCCTCACTCGTCCGAGTTCCCTCCAACGGATGCTCCCCTGCAGACTCTTCACATGGACGTGTGGGGCCCCGCCCGCGTCCGTTGACGGGGTCACGAGCGCTACTTTCTGCTGGTCGTTGACGACTACTCGCGTTACACCACTGTCTTCCCCTTGCGCCGCAAGGGTGAGATCACTGAGGTGCTGATCGACTGGATCCGTGCTGCTCGTCGTCAGCTCAGTGAGAGTTTCGGCTCGGACCTTCCTGTTCTTTATCTGCACTCCGACAGAGGTGGAGGGTTTTCCTCCGACCTTCTGAAGGCCCTCTATCGTGCGGAGGGCATCCGCCAGATGTTCACGCTTCCGGCCTCTCCATAGAAAAACGGGATTGCTGAGCGCCGCATTGGCATGGTCATGGAAGTCGCTCGTACGTCCATGATCCATGCGGCTGCTCCCCATTTTCTGTGGCCGTTCGCGGTTCAGTACGCGGCGCATCAGATCAACCTCTAGCCCCGTGACTCCATGCCGGAGACCACACCTACTCTGCGGTGGACGGGAAAGGTTGGCGATGCGTCTGCGTTCCGTGTCTGGGGATCTCGAGCTTTCGTCCGCAACTTGTCTGTGGACAAGTTGTCCTCCCGTGCTGTTCCATGTGTCTTCCTTGGCTTCCCCCTTAACGCGCCTGGTTAGCAGTTTTACCACCCCACCTCGCGCCGTGTTCTGTCCTCTCCGGATGTCACGTTTGACGAGTCGGTTCCTTACTACCGTCTCTTCCCCTACCGCACTGCCCCCTTCCCCCCCTGCCCGCGGCTCTTCCTCGCGCCACGTCGTCCTCCGTTAGACCCCCTCCCCCCTCAGGGTCCTGCCCCCCCTCTCCCTCCTCCCTCTTCCCCCCCTCTCCCTCCCCCCTCTTCCCCCCCTCTCCCTCCCCCCTCTCCACCCCCCCCTCCCCCTCCTATCCCCCCCCCACCTCTCTCCCCACTATCCCCACCCTCTCCCGGCCGTCTCCCCATCCTCTCCCCCACCTCTTCCCCTCCCTACCGCCCCACCTCTCCCCTTTCTCCCTCTCATTGTACCTCAAAGAACGCGCCAGCGATCTCGTCTCCTCTCGTCGCTTTCGTTCTCGATGCCCATCTGCCGCCGCCGCTCTGCCTCGCGCGGGTCCTCGATCATCAGTACCAGCCGGATCTGCGTGACGTCACATTAGCGCGGGCGGCAAGCATGCAGAAAATGGCGTGCGGCAGGGGGGCGAGGGAAGGGGGGGGAACAGCGAAAACAGGACAGCAGGTAGGTGGGCGAAGCGTGCAAACGGTTGACATTGACGGACAATGACGGGCACTGACGGACAATGACGAACAAAACACAGATAAAGAAGGCGACACGGAGCGTGTAGCGAGAGCTCGCGTGCACCTCTCGCGACGCAGGGTACGAAATTCATTCTCAAAGGCTAAAGTTTCTTCTAGACGGCTGTTGCAGCTTTTCATTTCTTCATGGGTGAACTCACAAGGCTAATACACGCACCTCCTGCACCGTCATGTCGCGACGCTCCTTGAGCAACTCGATGGTCTGCCACGCCGCACACCGCACGCATACATGCACAGGCACAGGAATGGATGCGAGTTAGGCTTGAGGCATGCGACAAACCGGAACGATATAAGTGGCGAGAACGATTATTCGGTGCGCACAGGAATAACAACGGTAGGAGGCGGTTGGAGGCCTGAGGGGCTCAGCTGAGGGCGCCACTAAGGAGGCTTCAACTGAGATCCCTTAGGCACGACCCTGCACTCGTAATCCCATCATGCAAGAGTCGCGAGTGTCGAGAATGTTGCGAATGTCGAGAATTTTGCGAACGGCCTAAGCGAGCACGAATCACCTCGAGGATGTCTTGAATGTCCCTCAGGACCTCCGCCTCCTCTGCCAATAGCTGCTCCTCCCCATCCTTCCCCTCCTCCGCCGTC